CGTTATTGCGGATAGGGGAGGGAGGAAAGAGGGGATGGTGGAGTATTTAGTGCTGTAGATAATGATAGATAGCTATCTCGCGTGCATCCGTGAACAAACAAAGAGAAAAATCGCAGCGGGTGAGAGATTCGAGGACGGCCGCTCGCGCCCGTCGCCGTCGCGTAGCTACGATGTCAATCGCGACTTTTCTTTTTACTTCCTGTTCAGACAATGACGGGAAAATGTTTTCTGTGTGTAGGGACTAGGGACGCTACCGGGCGGCGCGCGGGGTCAATAATGGGGGCACTAATCTGTGCGAGCATAGCCCGGATTAATGGCTCGTATTGCCGTGTCTGCTGTTTGTTTTCTTAAACTTCTTAGTTTGCCTTGTTAGAAGTTTCCCGATACGTTACATTTGTGGTGTGCCAATGCGGTTACTCGACAACTGCGAATGTTTTCGTTTCGGTTTAACTTTTGTTTTGGTTTGGGAGCGTTTGAAAGTAGTTCTAGTAAACAACGTTTGTAGCCTTTCATCTGATCGATAAGTGACAAGATGTTAAGAGTACATTTGTTAATGTTATGTCAGGAATAGCATCAACAAACTATCTTGTTTATTCAATGATAATATTATAATTTTTTTTTTTTAATAAATTATGTCAATAGTACGAATTCTGAAGTGAGACTGAGAGCAAATAAAAACAAAGAATATTAAACTTTTAAGCGTAGATGAAAAAAGCCTATTAACAGACAGCGAAATTTGAGGAACTATGGAATTGAGCGTTATTAATATTTTTTTATCATCTACAACTTTATTTAGCAATATTTTATAAAAATATGTTTGCGGTTCCAGGCGGAAGTGTTATTACAAAGTTATAAATTTGAGCCACGTACATCAAACGAAGTGAAATTTCATTTCCATCGCAACCATTAGAAGTTATTCTCAGGATAATACTCCTGTAGAATTGGCCACCGTACCGTGTGTAATTTATCCCCTATAAAGTTCATACCTGCAATTTTATGAAGCCGGGACGTAGGCAACGTTTACACTTAGTTCATTATACTGTTTTTACTGCATGCGTAGCTCAACGACGCCATAACTTTGAAAATGAAAGCCTGCGCAGACGTGGAACTTTTGTCCGCGAACTTTTTTGGCCGCCAAAATAGATCATTGTTTTTCATCACAAGCTACTTAAGTTAAAGTAAGAAGAATGTATAATTACTACATGTTACTCAAAAATGATTTATTTTGGACGAATTATTGCTCGCATTTTATCTGCGTGAAATAATTTATGTCCGTAGAAACTTTCATCCCCTGTTTCACCATTAAAGTAGAATTTGCTAAGGTTCCCCTTTATCTCTACCTGAAAGACAGTTAAGCGATTTAGACACCTCTTTCATTTCAACACCTCTTTTACCCCTGACTCCCCAGCAGCCTCAGGCTGAAGGTGGTTGTACTCTTTATGAAGACTACAACGTTTTGCGTTAATTACGTAGGGTCAAATGGGGGACATTGTAATAAGGGGCACAATGTAACAAAAGTAATATCTCTATATTATTCACGGCCATTTGACGTCTGATGACAGCTGTTCAATAATAAAATACGTAAGACAGACTATAAAAAATAAGAAAAGGGCAAGAGATTTCCCTTATGTTACACTGTGTCCATTGTTATGTATAGGGAGCCCTATTATCTGGTTCGTCTAATCTTTTTAATTTTTTTGTTTGTTCGCTGTGTGGTCTTGTGGGTTAACAATAAATAGAGGTAGGGTCAAGTGGGGGAAAGTATGACAAGGGGCACACTGTAACATAAGGTAAATCTCAAAAGTTAAAACTTTCGAATTAATAACATTAGTGCGGACGTACACGAATTGTTATTCGCCGCAAAATACTTTTAGATTTTTAAAGTTTGCGTTCAAATGTGCAATATATTATATTACATCTGTATATGTTGTGGATTTCAATAACAGGCATGTTATCCAGAATTTTATTCAAATACTTTTCAAATCTTTATGCCTACGGCTTAACTAAATTGGCCTTGCTAAGTGACTTATAAGTACAAGTAAACAGAAGTATTGCATAGCATAATATCGCATTGACCACAAGTGCAAGCGACGCTTATCTCTAAGTAAGGAGCTTACTTGTTCCTGTCTTAAGTTTATGTATTATTTTGTTATTCTGGAGCGTCACAAATTTTAATAGTAATTATTAAAAATAATGTTTTGATTGGTTTCAATAAGTCAGTTAAGAAAAGCTTTTAATATTGATTTGTGAATAAAGCTAAACGGTGTACCTACTCACATAACTGTCGGTTTGATATGAAGAGGTTCTTCATGCATTGAAGTCTCCACCTTCAGTCCCGGCTACATCTACAGTCAATGAATATGTAAATAATTATGTATACTGTGTCCCTACAGTACCTATTTCGATTGAACTATATAAGCTATTCATGACGACTGATTAATATTCTCAGTTTTATTTACAGGCTGTGGGGTTTCTTCCTCTATATTTAAACGATTCTGTAACCTAATACATAACACACAGTTATTAATTTTGAATGAAGGAATGTTTAAATTTTACATCATTTCCAGTAACTTTGAACAACATTTAATCAAAGTATTTCAATTAGATCCTCATAATATAAATACGTTCGGAAAATGATTAACATTTTTGTTTTAATTTACTCGGAAACCTTGCCGTAGCGAATTTCAGCTTCGGAAAAATATTGAAAGTTAATTTTAAAAGCCACACAAGTTGCACGAAGTTTATGGAGTTACGCAAATTCTAACTCGAATTGGTAACATTTCAGCTAAAATGGAGCACGGAATTGAATTTTAATACCTACTTATCTTGTAAAAATAAAGTGTGACGAGTGATCTTTTACATTTTCTGCTTTGATATTATTCTTTTCGTCATCTTAGGAGTTAAATAGAAACTCTTATCTGATCGTTGTTCCTTCCTTTGTATCTTTCAGCATAACATTATTGTCATAACTCCAAAATTTTCTTGGTAAAAATGCTACGTCAGTGCAATGGCGATATTTAAACGTCGTCCTTTTGATACTTTATTTAACCGTCAGAACTCTATCGATTCAAATTATATGCTTTATCTACACTTCTAAATGAATGACAGAATCAAAGCATAGAAATGGAATTCGATTTCTTCCGAAAGGTTTATGAATTAAAAGGTTGGTTCGATATCGGGCTGTCAGCCCCTAATTTCTCGGAAACATCGCTAGAATACTTTAGTATTTATGAGAAAAATATCGTTACACTTGCCTACGTTTGTATATACTTTAATAGGTTTTTTTATGTTATTGGCGGCAGGACCGGGTGTTATGGATACCCTACAGCCGGCTGCAAGGTTATGTCAGACTCTTACTGACTAAAACTAACCTGTGGGGGACGCCTATGGCGTATTTATGGGCTTTACAGGCTTTAAAAGTTCCACTTCTAGTTTAAAGGGTGGCTAACACTGAAGCCTGTTTTCCACGCCAAAGAGGAATGAACTTGGGATGTCTAGCAGAGCGGTCATCGTGCCCATAAAATAGAATTGATTCTCCACCGAGAAAGAGTTTCGAAGCTAACTTGCTCATTTTCACTCCTTTTGCCCTCTTTGTCATTTGCCCTCGTCTCCTTGTTGGTGGAAACAGATGTATGCATTTTTGTATTGCGAGTTAAACGGAGTTATTAATGGACTCACTTCGCTTGCGGTGGAAACGGTCTTTATAATATGACCCTTATGATCCGCTCCTAAGCGGCGACAATAAACGCGTGTGATATTACAGTATCTTACGTATGTTACCTACACTGTTTCTATCCCCAACTCCAGGTACCACCACACACAAGGCAGTGCTATTTCACTGCGGTATTTATCATGGTGGAGAGTGCTTTACTAAACCTGCGCTCTAATAAAAACAGTAAATTCGCTGTATTATAACCTCTATCTCTCCCTATACGAGAATTTAAAAAAGAAGTTTTAAAAAGTGTGACTGAATAAATAAGAAAGTGTATAGGTGCCTATTATTTTTCGAAGTACCATCTGATGGTAAACGCGTTTTGAAAAACTTTACAATGAAACAAGTAAGTTTACAGTGACACAAAAATCACCAAACACGATTTATTAATTAGATCAAATTGTTGTTATACTTTTGACGGCCTTTAATCTACTATTTAGTTATAGGATATATTATGAATATTGTACACAAAACATGCTTTAAATAAAGAGCTTGCAGTTCACTAAGTGGAGTTCGAATTTACCGAGCAAAACCCACTCTGTGAAATGCACCAGATTGTATTTTGTACGTAAAAAAGGCAGTAGAATCAAATCCGCCTATTAGGCGGGGGTGCTGCTACTAATTAAAATAAAATTGTTAAAACCGACCCCTCGTGCTCGCTCGCTGAATCTCCCCGGACTAACTCTTAACGAGGATATATTTGGTTTCGACCAACCCTTTGGTGATTTTACTATTGAGTCCAACTGCAAATAACCCCGTAATTGACTTCAAACAACTTCTGGCTTTGCGGAGAGAATAACTCAGGTATCGTACGGAGGATACATTGGAATATCATTTCTATGTATCAGCTGTTTTAACTGCCTTAATCTGGAAGATTGTATAACCTCTAGTCTTATTATATAATCCTTAATATGTATAGTTTTGTAATTCTTATATTTTATCTATTTTATGTATGCAGAGATATGTTGAGGCCTATATCATTAAAGTAAATGCATGAATTGATTTCAACCAGGAATAAACTGGGCACATAAATGTGAGTGAGAAGAAGGCGGTCCATAATTCTATGGACTATGTTTATGTATCGGCTGTTTTTTCTTTCTAGAATTTTTTTAATATCATGCGGGCGTTGATCGGTCAATTCTCATAATTCCACTCTCTTTTTCTTTGAAGTTTTTAGAATCAACACAAATCTTATTTTGATCTATGTCTATAATGTCATTACATTGTAACCTGTGTATAGTTTTACTCGCTCCTAACTTCACACCGTAACCTAATGAACTTGTTGCAGCGTTCGCCGCAGCGGGCGGTGGCCAGCCGGCAGGATGATGGACTGTCTGTGTCCGGCGCCAAGGACGCTCGCCTGCCGCGTCGTGCTGCTGGACGAACGGGAGCTACTGCACGAGATCCAGGTGAGAACATCGATGAAAACAAGACTTGTAGGCACAGACAAAACCTGCAAAATAGCGAAAGTTATCATTATCGGGATGTCAGTGTTATTCATAGCTGCACCAATAATGACCGCTCAATTACGCTCATTGGCAAATACGATGCCTAATACCTATAAGTTTGAGTGAGCTTATTATAAGCACCGTAAATAATTTAAACAGCAATGGTGTAATGTTCGGTCGAGTAACTACATATTTCGATACGATCAAAATAATCCAATATATCAATCACAATATAATTATTGCTCTTTTTCATGTTTTATTTCGGGTTTTGTGTTTTAGCCTATCTATTTCTTTAATTTTTATTCTAGGATCGTGAATATCGACTTTGCTTATCTGTATTAAACATCTTGATACGACTGACGCTTACTTCTTTATCTCTCTATTTTATTTAACTTTTAAGAAAACGTCTCGACCACATCTTAGGTCTTGCATTATCAGGTCCTTTTTTATTAGCAAAAAGGCCCTCACCAACTGACCTAAATGTATTTTTTTCCTAATATCCTTATTTTCTTGCTATGTTTTTTCCTTCGTCTATTTCGTCGCAACTAGTTACTTGAAAATAAAATATTTTTAACATATCTTAGACTTAGCCGATCCTGTTTGAAGCTGTCTGGGAAAAAAGACGTTAGAAATATGCTTAAATATTTATTATTATTTGGTTCCCATATTTCTCGAAAGATAACAACAAAAATAAAAATCAAATCCATCCTTCAAATTAGTTTACATAGTTTTTCAATATATTCTCGCACTTCAAATAACCAAGGGCCAAGTATTGCGAAAATAGACCAAGCTTATGGGGCGGTCCCTGCGGTGAAAGATAGCATTTTTCAATTTTCCGCTCATATCTACGAAACAACGGGATTTCCACCGTCCCTTGTCCCGCACATTCTGGTGTAGCTATTCCGAACGAATATTTCCGTATACCCGAAGGCTCAAGAAAGGTCTTTTATATGCGAGGCTTGGGTCCAAGGTGAGGATGAATTCAATGAATCGTATGTCGTCTCTATGAATATTAAATTCTATTTGCCTCGCATTGTAGGCGCGCTGTGAATGTGAGAGTGGCTTACGGCTTATGGTGCTCGCAACCACCGCGTGCTGTCCTTGCCACTTTAACAATACAAAACAATAAAGTACCCTACATTATATAATATACCTATAAATACAACATACAATGTACATAAACATAGGTAGATAAGTAACGGGCTTCCCTTAGGGGAAAGATCGTAACATTATTCAACTACAATAACATAGAAAACAGAAAGGAAATAGTTATTTATGATACAACTACGGTAAGTTGGTTACTACAAACGAGTAGACGAATGTAAACCCGAGACGAAGTCGAGGGCTTACCATAGTCACGAGTATCGTAAAACGTTTTTCAACACATTTGCGAGAAAACAGTACCTATATCTACCAATCCCCTATTATCACCCATCAATCCCCACTATCACCCACCAATCCCTTATTATCACCCACCAATCCCCTTATCACCCTCGAATCCCTTTCACTCTCCAATCCACCTATTTACCCTTGAATCCCCTTTTTGACCTCGAATCCCTTTGACACCCTTGAATCCCTTTTACCCTCCAATTCCTTTTCACCCTTGAACCCCCTTTACACCCTTGAATCCCCTTTGGACCCTCCAATCCCTTTTTCACCAATCCTCACTATCACCCACCAATCCCCTATTATCACCTATCAATCCCTACTATCACCCATCAATCCCTCATTATCACCCACCAATCCCTTTATCACCCTCGAATCCCTTCCTCCCTCCAATACCCCTTTTCACCCTCGAATACCTTTTTACCTATCAATCCCCACTATCACCCACCAATTACGTATATTCACCCACCAATCCTCTTTTCATCCTCGAATCCCTTTCACCTTCGAATCCCCCTTTTCGTACTCTCTTTTCACCCTCCAATCCCCTTTCACCTACCAATCCCCACTATCACCCACTTATTCGCTATTATCACCCATCAATCCCCACTGTCACCCACCAATCCCTTATTATCACCCATCATTCTTCATCGTGCGCCGATTAAATTTGTGAGATTCGACCGAAATTTAAAATATAACCGTAAGGAATACGCACGGTGCCAAGTATGGGAGTGTGCGTATTAAATTATACTGCACGCTCCGTTGTATGGCCCGCAATTTTGAACTTTCGACCAATGTACTACAACTTCCGTAAATGCATTTTTTGAGCAAATGTGTTGAAAAAGTTATTTAAAGAGTCGTCCTCGTAAAGTAACACTCGCACCCCCGCGTAATAGTCCCGTGTCGCCGTCGTCGACCTAACACACAATCTCTATTATCTTGGAAACTCGCGCAAAACTTGAAAACACATAAGACGTTAGCTTCGAGCGAATTCCGCAGTTATTCAGATAATACTTACATAAGTCTCCGTCATAACCGTAAACAACGGAGGAATTTATCCCAGAAATGCTTTTGTTTGGGCCTATACGTTGAGCCGCAACTTGTTCGTCAAACAAATTCCTTAGATATATCGAGCCTAGAATCATCCAATTTGGTTAAAATGGAAGCGATGAGAGTTCGACGTTTCTAGCTCAGCCGTATGTATATTTTAGATAAATCACCGCACTTCCCTTTCAGTTTTCCCTATCACAAAGGGACATTTGTCTCAGATGTATCTACCAGCAACTTTTCTCTTTGCCGATTGTTGAAATATGGAGATTTATTATTTTAGATCTCTTTTCACATTTTCTTTATTTCCGAGATACTTTAAGATCGGATATTCTTTTTGTTTTAAAAATATCCATTTGTCCAAATTGTTTTAGGTACATATAACATTAGTATGCTAGTTGTTTTATAATTTAAGTATACAATCAATTTTGCAATTTTAAGAGCAATTACTTATTATCCAGTAACAAATTTTAACTAATAACCTAAAGCGGCATTCATAAAACTATTCCTGCGAATTCATTGGCGTTCTATGGTTTGGAGAACCGTTGGGCACTGTAATTGTCAGTGCTCGTGTTCGTATTACGTTTATTACAGAAGATTATAGATCAGGCGGATCAATATCTCGCCATAATATTAGGTCGCTAAGTCCGGTATCTATCTACCTGAAACGAAAAATCCATTTTAATAGCAAATCAGGTTTGATTTTAACACCAGTCTGTTATGTTACCTACAGTTACGACTATATTTACAAAAGAAAAAAAAATAATGAAAATCTCCTATACTTCGCAAGGTTTATGAAATAAAAGCAATTTAAGCGGTTATTGTTTCACAAAATGATTGTCCTATATTTAGATTAGTTAGAAATAAATAACTATGTTTATTTTTCTTGACATCCTTGTTAAGTCCTTGATTTTATGGAATCTTTTAGAATTTAAAGTATTATGTTACTAGTTCAAATTAACAATGTTCAATATTACAGCATATAATGGTTATCAAAAGTATCCTGTCCTGACGAAACAGTCTCGCATTTAAAGTTTATCTTACATACCCGGTACAGCAAGTTCAATCGAATATAATAATCGTCATTATAAAATTGACTGCCAAATAGTAGGTAATTGTAAGTTAGTACTCAAACTATTAACTAAATAAACTTAAAAAAAAGCACACTAAACATCATTAAACACTTAGTACTTCTAATTTTACTAATATGTATTACTTATTTCCTTAACCAATCTTATGTGAAAATTGTGAAATAAACAATACAAAGGCGGCGATCTAAAGGAGTATTTCGTTGCAATTGTCAGGTGCCAGCACTATTTTATTTGAGTCGAGCACTGAAAGAATGGGCATGGCAAGGAATGGCACAGCAATTTACTGAACGAGCCTAGTGTCGGGAGGTCATTGTGTTGTTGTCGCGCGCAAATTGACTCGACAGCATTTCACGGTCTGCTGGGTAAGTGCACCTCGTGCCTCCCGCGTCGTTCTGTTTTATTGATGGCATCTCTTCATTGTGTCCTCCTTGGATTCAGAGACTCCTTCCTTTGTTAGCAACGTCTAGTAGTTTTAATTGGCCGCACTAAAGGAGTTGGCGTCTTTGATAACATTTGCTTTCTGTAAAAGGAAGAGATAATATGCTACTCGTACTTCTGATTGCTTTATGAAGTGAGATACCTTAAGCAAACTGATTATGCAAAACTGCTTTCTAGTCTTCCGACTTAGGACCTCTAGGTTTTGTATGCATGAAATAAATAAAACGGAAATCTGTACTCAACACAATGATTGATATTACGTATGTCAACCTACAATTTGCCTACGTTTGGGTTGATGTATGGAGGTTTAGCGTTTTCCAAAAAAAAACAATACAAATCGTTTACAGTAGATTGATTTATAAGCATTGCGCGCAATAAATTGTAATACGTTAAAGGTAAACAATCCTATCGGTCGTGCGCGGCCTCCGGCGACGCCCTCGTATGTTCATCGGTATCACGTGTCTAACAGGGGTGCTATTTGAGACTTTGTGATTTGCACAATACTGGAGTGGAGACGATACATTTCGAGATTTCGATGTAAATCTTTGACGTCAACAGTAAACATTGGCATAGGCCGTGGGTGCCTAACGAACCTCTTTTGTTGGTTTATAAATTGTTCCTTTTTAAAAACTATTATCAATTTGATTAAGTTTATACAGGGTTCCATTCTTAATGTAGCTGAACTGAGTATAATCATTGGATTATGCTCAACTTTACCATATTAACGCTTATAACATATTGTCCTCTTAACTTAGGAAGTCTCAATTTAAATAAAAGGTATTTCGTTTCATAAAGTATTAAATGATTTCTTCTAGAATTAATAAATATTATTCATATACAAAAATAAATTTTATCAAACCGAATAACAAAGTTCATCTTACAATAAAAATATAAGCAACAATTAAAATAATCGTGACGAGGCATTTTGAAACTTTTATGAAATTTATAATAATTAAGAGAACAACAACTTTTTTTACCTAAACACATTAATTTTTAATTCTTAGAACGAGAAAACAATTTTGTCTTTGTGGAACGTTCTTATTTGCCGTAAATAGCTTTTAATTATAGAGTCATTGTTACAAGATAAAAACAGTCATTTAAAGATCTTGACACAGAGATCACAAAAGAAATCACCAAGTAAAGTTTTATATGTACCTAGTTTATTTTAAGAACCATGCCCTGCCTCTGCCTAATTTCTTTAATCATGTTGAGTTAGAATCATAATTCTTAGTAAAAAAACAGTCATTTAAAAATCTTGACACAGAGATCACAAAAGAAATCATCAAGTAAAGTCTTATATGTACCTAGTTTATTTTAAGAACCATGCCCTGCCTCTGCCTAATTTCTTTAATCATGTTGAGTTAGAATCATAATTCTTAGTAAAAAAATATAAAGTATAATGTAAAGAAAACGATATAGGTATATTAAAGATTAGCAATTTTTATAATAACAAAGTTTATTTTTGTTTTCTTCTGACAAGATCATTCAATAGGTTTAAAAACTCAACATAAGAAAATTTTCTATGTTACAATACTTATTTATTAATAGAGAATAATTTTGGACTAGTTACGTTTTGTCTATGTTCATCGAATTACAAATGCCAATAGAGTGACAAAGTACATAGAGCTCGTTGTTTGATACATAGTTAAATGTGACTATTAGTGAATGTCTTAGTGTAGTGTAGATAGTGTGTAAAATCTTGATTAGTGGGTACTTTTACTTCATGTATTTTTACTATAACTACTGATCAAACAACGGGCCTGCGTAACTAGTTAATCTTTGTTTTGGTAAAATGGAAGACTCCACTTACAGCAAAGTTATTTAAATCAAAATCTAATCTTAATAAAGTCTCATTCGATCTCTATTTGTCTTTAAACAATTGACAAATATATGTGTTAAATATTTGTCAATTGTTTAAAGACATCGTTAAACAGGATTGATAAGGATCAAGGATTTGAATTAATAATGTTGCTGCTTGTGACTCTCAGTTTAAAACGCAGTAGTAGACGGCAGCCCTACGCCTGCATCAACTGCTGGCAGATTTTGAAATCGTTTGTTATTTTTCGAGCTGAACGTACGCTGGGAGCAAACGGGCTCTGTTATTAAATCATTTATTATTCAGCTCAGCGAACTGTTTTGCAATTTTCCCACAATCTGCCGACTCGAAGGCAGACGCGTTTGGGTGCCCCGGTGATATGTTGTTCGCTGTGCGTGCACGTTAATTAGCCCTCCCGCCGTTAATTGTTGTATTATGTAAAGGGCTCTGGCTTCTTAGTTTGTGAAACTAACAGCTGAAATGCTGACTCCTTGGTACTACTCACCCTTTTAAGGAATGCTCCATAAATATTTTCTTTGGTGATGAGAGGTACAGTTTAATAATGTAAAGTTGGCGTTACTTACCGTTAAATTAAACGTTCTAGTAATAAAGAAAAACAATTGCTAAGGATTTCAATTATAAAAACATCATTACTTCGAATAGAAAATCGAATTGAAAACATCACAAAATATATAATTTTTATCGCTAACTTTCTCTTTTATGGCTAATTAATTTTAGGCGGGTTGTATTGTTCTTGCAAATTTTATTTGAAACGAGTTAGCAACGATTGTTATTTCCGCAGTAAAAATTTAACGTAGCCTAAAAGGGGATATTAATGAAACTTTCTTTATAAGGAAAGAGTTGAAAGGCTCAAGAATTATAGTATTTTGGCTAAATGAACCTAGTCATGTCATTCTTCTTAAAAAACATTACCCTCTGCGCTCGGGCAAAAAGGATATACCTTCAAAGATGCATTAGAATGAGACAGACTGAACATCAGGTATGCATAAGTATAAATATCAGTCTCATCAGTGATCTCAAGAGTGACATTAAAAATGCCAAACAATGTTGTAAATCAAAACTTCACAGAAATTCAAATGAAGTCAAATTATACTAATTCAGCTCAATCAAAGTTGCTTTACAAGTGAAACACCAAGGAACCCGTAATTGACCACCGAGCTTATTATAAGGCTACCGAAAGAAGTCCAATTTCTAGACTGTAGTTATCTTTTCTCGCAGGCAGACAGAGCACGCGAGCTTTCTGTGCGCGTGAGATCAGTGCGAACCCGGCGATTATGTTGCTAAAGCATATCACAGCTACTGGTCTTACAGGTTACCTCGCGTGCTTTCAACTTAATAGATGAAAGTCCGTTATTGTAAATGCTAATTGGAGATATCCACATAAGTAGCTCATAGTGAATGGAAATTTTCGAATATATAAAAATGAAGTTGAGCTAGAAATCCGTGTTATCAGAAAATCGAGTAGAGCTTTTTAGTAAATTAAAAGTGATTTATTAATGAAACGGGTTTAAATAGCTTCTAAAATTTGTTTTAAAAATCCTCTAAAAGAGTTCTTTATTTTCACAACTTTTTGGCATACTAATTTGGGTCAACAGTTTTTTTGAATTGTTTTGTTTATTGTTTTATAATGAACAGAATATTGAAACAAAAATAACAATAACGTTAACTTGGATAATTCATAACTCTGTTGCTTAATAAATACGGATCTATTATTAGTTTGTATTAACTACGTCAATCCTAAAGTCTTTGCTTAGCATCTTTGCTAAATGACGAATTTGCCAGGTGCTTTAAATTATGGATCTATTTTTAGATTTAGTTGAATCAAAATTTAGCGATTTTATTACAAGTAGGTCTCATTAAAGATTTAGTAATTTACGATAGCTGAATCATGTATCTGTATTTACAGGACAATAGCACGGGTCAAGCTCTGCTAGACGTGGTGTTCAAGCATCTGGATCTCTTAGAGACGGCCTACTTTGGACTGCGTTACGTTGACCAGGATAATCAGACGGTAAGCTCTTACATACTTAGCACATCAATTTATTGACAAAATAGAGACAATTATGAAATCATATAATACAGTTATAATCTACACTCGACAGCAAATAAACCGGACCACCCGCTAGAAAATTGGAGCTCTGATTTGATATTCCCAAAAAGTATTTAACTTACAACTATCAAAGCTACGAGTGTATCTACAGAAAGTGTGTTTCATGATAATTAAAAAGACGAACTTACTGTCATCTTGTAATAAAGCAAGAAACCCTAATAATTTGCTAATTTTTGAATAAAATCTGATACTTCTTATCATTTCTTTGTTATTTTTTGGGTCGGTAGGGTTTAATTAATGAATCTCAATAAACTCCTGTTTATTTTAATCATCATGCAACGCTCTTTTTTTTGGTAAAGCATCCATAGTCTGTAAGTTTTATACTTTTTGGAGTTTACTCCTTAAGAATCGATTCGCATATATAAGGGGCCCGGTATGAGAAAAATGTGAGGAGTAAAATCTATCGATGAATGACCTCGTTACGTTTTTGGTGCGCATCCTATGTCGCGCAACTTTGACAAACAAAGATGACGGATTGACATCAATAATTTTTTAAAAATCTGAACTGAATTTAGATATTGTTTCTGATACAGCAATGGGGACAACGAGGTATGGTACAACCATTGATGCGATATTTTCAAGATTCGTGAACTACGTATCTACGAACGTCCATGTGTCTTATTTTAGTTACCATAAACCACTTGTCACTGTAATTAATAATGCAGACAATGTTGATTTAATTAATATTTAAAAAAATGATAATAGTCTGATAATAATAATTACATAATTTATCAACATTCCTAATGATATATTAATGCACATCTGAAATTGACTATTATAAAAAGTTTAATGTAAAATATTTCGTCGAGTAGTTATAATAAATGAATATGAAATGAATAAATATATATTTATATATGTATATTATTTTCATTTATTTGTTAATTTACCCTTTCATACAGTATCAATCTTTTTTAAGTTAAATAAACTCTTTTTGCGTCTGGTTAGACAATCGAACTTAAGGAGTAAACTCCAGTCGTGCGTCGGAGCTGACACACACAATTTTTTTGTTGAAAAAATAAAATCAGTGTTCCAAGGTGTCCGACTCGATTAATTAAAAGTTATAGTTCTGATTTCAAAGTATTTATTTTGTAGACCAGACTAAGATACTATATAAAAATTAATTTCGACGAATTTGACGACCTCCGTGGCCGAGTGGTTTGTACGCCGGGTTTCATGGTGTCGCCGACTCGAGAGGTCCCGGGTTCGAATCCCGATGGTGGCAGATGTTTGTGTGATGAATATGAGCATTTGTACTCCAGTCATGGATGTTTAATATGTATATCTATGTAAATATACTTACATATGTACTATATATGTATTCTATCCGTTACCCTAGTATCCCATAACATAACTTTGGAGCCTTGTAACCCTACTCACCAACGGAAATACAATACCATCAAAAGGCATGCTGTAGTCGTCTATACGGTGGGCTTACTTCAATCCAAGAATTTGTTTTTTTTTTACAAAATATGTGTTTTGTGTTCATGTACAGCATTGGTTGGACTCTACCAAGCGGCTGCGGCGGCAGCTCAGAGGTTCCGACACACACACATTTTATTTCGGGATCAAGTTCTACGCTGCTGACCCGTGCAAACTGCTCGAAGAGATTACACGGTAACTTTCATTAGTAGCTAATCTTGTTTATCAATCTTCTCGGAATATTAATGTTCATTCTCTAAGGATCCATCAAATTATATGGTACGCATATGGGCAATTAATTTCCTACGCACTAAATGATACATGTAATTTAATTAGTAAGCAATGAATTTATCTCAGGAAAAAAGTTCTTGATTTATTCGAACGCTTTGTGTAAGTACAAGTTAAATTGTATAAGGCATCTGAAGAGCGCAATCTTGTGGAATAGGCAACGTTAAATCAACAATGAAAAAATACGTTTACATAAAACGCTATGGAGGATAAAAACCCACTCTCGGCCCACAAGTTACCGACAGAGTTTCGGGTGAAAACATATTTTCAGATTGTCATAAACATAGACGAGAGAGTAGGTACCCACCTACTGTAAACATTAAGTTAAACGTTGAATTTATATTTTTTTTCCTCCATAGCATTACTTCTCCTGTAAGCACACTTATTGCTCTCTCTTTGTACCAACGCAGACGTTATTAATTATGAAAATGAAATGTTCGCAAACACATACATAATAAACATTTTCTTATGAAACGAGAGGAGCAGATAGCGAAAATTTCCTTTGATGTGCTCTCGTAATTATTTTAGGTACCGACGTGTTTTTTTATGCTACGGAGTGAAATTAATGCTTTTGTGAAAATCTGCTTATGCTAGAATTGTGATACCGGTTTGTGAGAGTATGTGTGAATATTTATATTAATGTCATGCAATGTCATAAAGAAATCTTTGGTCCTGTGCTTTAACCCACATAGAGACTTGTTGAATAAGAATGTTATGAACTGGTAGTCACAATTTGAATATATCTAAGTAATTAGAAATTAATCCTTAAGCAACTTCAATACCCAAAAGTATCATTATATTACTAGTCTACCTTTATCGTTGTAACTTATATTTGGTTATTTAAATTCTCTATAACTTTACAGTGGTCAAGAATTTGTTAGAATGAATTCTAATATATTTTCCAGTTTTTTTAAATTGATGTGTTTCGAAAATAATTTGCCTTACCCTTCTATGAATAAACTAAGAATAAGCTTGAATTAGTTTGTCCATGTATATGTCACTGATTATTTAATGATTAATGGCAATTGAGTGCTATAAATTAAAACACGGCGTAACTACTCTAAGCTTATTCCTCGTTTAAGGGGATTTATGAATAAGGGGGTACAGGTCTACATTTGGTGCATTTTTTAAAAATTAGCCTTTGGTTACCTTAGACTTCCTATTTATAACTAAAAAAAGCGGTCAAGTGCGAGTCGGACTCGCCCATAAAGGGTTACGTAGCAGCAAGTAACATATTCATATTCATTTATTGCATTCATGCTGTTTACATGCTGTTACAAAAAATATACACATCATTCTAAACAAGAACCCAGTTAGGGTATTGCAATAATCCTAAACTAAATAGGTAGTCATATTATAAAACGTTCAATATAACACATTTTCAATCCTGTATAACATAATTATAGTAAAAATTAATTCAATTGTCTAAAATCTTGTATAACATAATGTAAAAATTAATTCAATTGTCCAAAATATACTGCAAACGTCAAAATTCAAAACTTAATACTAAATATGTAGACCTAATAACATAAAAGTTCTTGTAGTTCGTTGTAACTATGATCGATGTTTTAATAATAGTGTATTTTTTTAAGGAAAATTGCTGCTTACGATTTATGACGTAATAAAAAAAACTACTTACTAGATCTCGTTCAAACCAATTTTCGGTGGAAGTTTGCATGGTGATATATTATATATACATCATATATATATTATATTATATTAATGCCCAAGTAACAATCATTGTGTTCAGTTCGCAGCAGTGTTTACAATATTATACATCATATATTTTTTTAGTTTTATTATTCTTTTATTTTAGAGGTTTCAGGGGGGGGGGGGGGGACATTTTACCATTTTGGAAGTCTCTCGCTATTCAGTTTAGAAAAAAATATGTAAGAAACCTTAATATCATTTTTAAAGACCTATACTATACTCCATACGTATGGGTTTCATAAAAAAAAAGTTAAGTCTAGTAACGCTGTGTTTTGTTCACGTCACTTAAGTGATATTTGTAATTCAATGAACAGAGTAGTGTTGGGTAGGACACGACTTGAAAAAGAGTTTGTAAGAGTAGCCTCTTTTATGTACTGAACCAGTACAATGTCCCACTTCAAATGAGGCGAGGCGTACTGAAGCTCGGCAATACATTTGAAGTGACGAGTACAAATATGACATTGAGGCGTATAGAAGCTCGACATTACGTTTGTGTGCACGAGTAGCACCTCATCTACGCACTATCAATATTGCTGGATCCAGCATGCAGGACAGCGCTATACACGTAAAACAGATAGAGATACAGATGGATAGTGCGTAGAGGACTTAAATGAAATGTCATGCCTCGCTCTCTCTCTCAGACTTACGAAGAGTGAGTGAGTAACGAGACGCGACTATCGCGACATTTAATGTGAAGTAGTACATTTTAAAATTTTGAGCCGCTCTTACAATTTGGCGTCATGTCCGGGACAAATGTACCGCCTCTTGTAAGTCCTACTCAACACTAGAACAGAGACAAAACATAGAGTAACTAATCCAAGCTTATCCTTCATTTATTAATAAGGTTTATGTTCACTTATAATAATTTCATTGCTCTTGGTATTATATTTTATTTTATTTTAGTTAGACGCTAGTCGGATGACTCATCATTCATTATTTCAGTTGAGAATTTTTTGGGCATGGGCATTTTCTAATTTCCACAGGGACATTTAATAAAGTGGACATAATATTTTCTAGGAACGACAGACACTGGATTGTACTTTTATTAAAACAAGGTTTATTATATTTTACTTTCTTAAGGTTTAAATTTTTGGTAATAATTGATTCAGATTCCGAAGTAAGTATCTAAAACACGGATGAATCTAAACTTGGCTAAAAGCACATAAAAACCTTATAAAAGCGAGCATACTCGCTAACCTGTTCTGTTAACCAATTTTCAGGTATCAAGTAGCCCAGACACGTAAAAATGGGGACTAGGGATTGATTCCTACGTTTGTTGTATTGTTTACAATATTCTCTAAAACAAACTTAATAGTTAGTCCCCAGGCAGTAAGTTAGGCGAGTAAAGTTTTTCGTGCCTGTGACAACTGATACCAAAAAAATAATCCACAGTACAAGTTACTTTGTACACACCACTTACTTCTCGATTATCTATATTTAGCCCATGAGAAAATAAGTAAGGTCTGGCGGTCTTGGGATCTTGTACTATAAGTACATATGAAATTTCACTGAGTACCTGTACTATCTAAAATTATCAACAGAATTGTATAAAGCCATACAAGAGTAAAATTTAGTTTTCCATCGTTTGCTATTTTCATATGGTGGCCACCATCTGGTTCCATTGTCTACTTTTATCACTTATCCCCGATGACATAGTGTGGTAATAAAAGCTTTATTACGCGGTTGTGTATGGTGCTAACGGCATTAGGTACAGTACGTATATGCATGGGAACATATTCTATTCGTTCTTATAATAATATGTGCTAGGATAATTTATTATGAAAATGTTAATTCTACAAAATCAAATATTTAAACGAATTAATTACATTGTGAGAAATTTTTACTTAATTAAATTTTCTGAAACTAGCATACTAATTTGTCGACAAGTATCTACATTCTGTGTGGAAAAGTAAGCAGCCGATACTGTTATTTTTTCACTTAGAGTCCTTATTAGAACGAATATTAAAAAGTAGTGGCCCGCCCTCGCTTCGGTTCGGGGTAGAATTGATCAAAATCCTTTCTTAGCGGATGCCTACGTCATAAAATCTATCTGCATGCCAAATTTCAGCCCGATCCGTCCAGTGGTTTGGGCTGTGCGTTGATAGATTACTATGTCAGTCAGTCACCTTTGAGTTTTATATATACAGGGCGTCCCACGGCTACCTCACACGGAGGGTATATACTTTATATTAAATATTGAAGATAGGACATTTTATTGAAAAAAGACATAGTTTTATTTTTAATAATAATTAGAATTGCTTTCACAGATTTTTTTAAAATCGCCTGAAACAACTGGCAATCAAACTCGTGAAATTTCGAAAAAAAAACTCGACATATTTTTAGATAACCATCGAAAGGGTTACTCATAAGTATTATTTTTTGCTAAATAACGTAGCATTTTAAATGAAAGAAAAGTAATTTATTTTAACTTTTTATTTAACACAAACTAATATAAAATCAGATACGCCTCAAAGTAAGTTAAAATGTTGAGTTCACCATCGTTGACGTTTATCATTCGCTGCTGTAGTTTCTGTAAGGACATATCAAAATGTCCTAAATTTCTTAAAGTATCCGCTAACCTTTTAAACACATATCGAGAAGGTACGAAGGGCTGATATGTCTTTGTGGTTCATAAAGTAACCTTCCATTAAATCCATTTTATTTTGATACGCCATGGTAAATAAATTAACAAAAAAATTGCAAATAAAATTGCAGACGCTTGAAAATTTATATGTTCCATTTTCGAATTATTATTTTTATAAATTTCAGCCAATCGCATTGTAACTGTGAGTTCAGAAAGAAATGCATACGTACGAGTACTACAGTTTGTATATCACCATTATTTTTATCAATTAATAAGACATTCCTTTCATTTAAAATGCTATGTTATTTAGCAAAAAATAATCCTTATAATTAACCTTTTCGATGGTTACCATCAAATATGCTGTGTTTATTTTTTCAAAATTTCACGAGTTTGATTCCCAGTTGTAGCAGGCGATTTAAAAAAAATCTGTGAATGCAGTTCTAGTTATTATTAAAAATAAAAAGATGTTTTATTTCAGTAAAATATCCTATCTTCAATATTTAATTTACTTTCCCTCCGTGTGAGGTAGCCGTAGGACGCCCTGTATAGAATATGTACTTATATTTAATAACCAAAGGATAGAACAGAGTTAAATTAAAAAAAAATTGAACATGATTATGTGTAACCAAGGCCTTACTATAACTGAACACACGTGTGTGTATTAGTTTGTAAAAAACTGCATGATTAATATCTGAACAAATATCTGTATGATTTATTCACATGTGATGGGGTCTGATTAGAGACATCAAGAAGTGTTATTTCATGGGAACCGTCACCACTCGCAGCTATTACTTACGCTGTAATAATAAACAGTGTTGCGTTATTATTACTTACATCCAACGAGCGTAGCGGCTGGTATGTTATTCCAATAGATGAATAAACTTGCACGAGTAAGCGTAATAGGAGATTTCTTTTTTCATATTGATGTTATTTTTTTATTGATTTCCGCTAGCACAAAGGATATCGCTTATCCGCAAGGAAACTATAAATTTATCTCGCCGCATTTAAAAATAGATGCAGAAGCGTGTTCAAAAGACGTTGATGTATATCAACAAACTTTAGAAAAGACGCAAGTCCTTCAGCGCCCGCAGAGATATAATAAGGTCCTTGTTATCCAACGCCGACAGACGGTGACTGATTACATTCCGCAATGTCTTTTCAGTTTTATTACAAACTGTTAAATTTCCATGACCATAAAAAGAACTTGAGCTGGCACGGAACAAAAGGAGGTCTAGTGCTCTCACAGTAAACCGGTGGGGTCGTAAACCAGCACGCGGCCAACATTCTAAAATGAATGGCCGGGCGTTGTACGTCGCAGGCCCTGTCAATGCTGAATACGAATTTAACAAGGAAATTACGTTTAATGAAAATGTTTAAACTGTGAATACACTCACACTAAATAGGTCTTTTTTAACACAGAGAAATTCTGATGCTACCATTGGGTAAGGCAAAGAAGTTACCACAAAATAGGCCTAGCAATTTTACCTTCAATCGGTGAATACTATAAAGGAGAAGTGGCAAATATTTATGTAGGGGTACCTTAACTACACCTAAATACAAAGAGTCATCAAAATCTGACCCGGTTGTTTTGAGGTACCCCCCACATATACCACAATGGTATTGGTTCTTGGACGAACTTCCATACAAATTCGCCCTGTCTCCTTTTCAGGTTGAAACTTTTTTGAAATCGGAGCAATTGGTACAACCGACGTCGGTTCACAGTATAGTGTTTAAAAAGTTTTCCTTAACCTTTATCGTATTCTCTTAAAGGTAGGTAGGGAGAAACGGGAAACGTTAGAATATTTTATTAAAATTTTGTTATTACGGTGTTGATGCGCCGCGCCGGCCTGGCCCCTCTGCCTTTATCTCAGTAGGTACGTCTCTTTTACTCGAGGCCACAGTTTTAATACTCGTAAATTCTTTGAAAACCTTTGCTGTGATAGTCTTTTAATATTTAATATCCTTTTAAGGGCTATACTCTCCACATTGCTTTCAGTAAGTTTTCTTGGTGGTTAGAGAAAAATTAGTTAAATAAAGGAGCTCTATCCTCTGAAATATTTCACTACTTTCCTAAAGGAATCTCTTTTATATAGAAACTCTTTGCTAACTGTAGAAGTCTAGACGTCTTTCCATTGTCCTTGCTGCTTTGAAGCATCGTTTGATACATTTTTTATTAAAATCTAGCCTGTCTTTCTCTTTGCCAGTACATTCCACTGATGCGAATCAATTTAATTGCATTTACAGTATTCTTTGACAACAATATTTGATGTCATATGTAATGATGCTGTCGACAGTTTGAGATACAATAATGGTTTGCAGACTTGGATCTGTATTGTACTCTGGAGTAGTACAGATACTGGTTGTTATATATTATAGACACTGAATAAAAAACCTCACTACAAATACAATATAAAAACTGAAATTAAAAAAAAACATTCCTAGTTGTATATAGCCCCGCGCGTTGTTTGATACATAGTTCAAACTTCTATGTGACTATATAGTTAAAAGACTATAGAAAAAATAACTCCTTAACTAAAATAAGTCCTCGTTTATATTACTTATGAATCAACGGGGCCTTAGTCAAAGTATACTTTATTTAAGAGTTACGTTTTCATACTATACGAGTATATGTAATCCGAAGAGCTGGCAGCTACCTTGGATAAAGAATTAGTCTAGCTATTCAAAGGGGGAACGCTGCCAGTATCTTTGGAACCTTACCTAAAGGGACTCCTTTTAATAATGTATTTTAGTTATTATATATTTAAAGTTTTTAGTTATAAATATCTTACTATTCATATCATAAATCATTGTAATCAATTAGTGATGTTTGTGTGCAGGTACCAGCTGTTTCTGCAGTTGAAACAAGATGTCCTGCGCGGTAGACTGCCTGTCAGTTTCGATCTTGCAGCAGAATTAGCAGCTTTCGTCCTACAATGTAAGTAAATATTTTTCTTCGTAATTATATGATCAACTTCATCTGTATATTCTTCAAATTATCGAAGCTATTTACTGAGATTTTAAAAAGATTATTGATTATTCCATTCAGTTGCAGTTGATATTATTAAACAAATTTTTAAATTGACATTTTCTGGAGTTTGACGTAGTGTAAAAAGGCCGTCTCAGGGATTGCTGGGCTAATTAAAACTCGATTTGCTACAAACGCATATCACATCGTGTGTGATAATCTTAGAAATATTATCATAATTAGTCTGTAATATAAGGTTGAGTCTAGGAGAATAATATATAGCGAGTTCTGCCCATTTATTTAGTTGTACGACGAAGAGAAAATTAGTTAAACTTTCATCTCGCCAGTTTGCCATGTTAATCAAAATCACCCGGCAGATAGTAATTATAGAACTACTTGTTCTTTATTTTTCATTGGTGCAGGGGACATACCTAAATACGTAACTTTGTATCATAGTTTGAATGTCCAAGTAAAACCTAATTAAAAGTCTTAGTAAAAATCTCTCTTTTCAATTAGTTTTTAATTAACATGTATATAAATATGTACATCTTGTTTTAAAAATCATGTCATAAATATAATTGTTATTTTATCAATCGTTTAATGACTATGTATAATATCCTGTATTTATAATTAACTGACAACTTATATCCTAATCCCGAGTAGGTATAAAAAATGCTGTGTTTTGTACAAGTGTTAGAGTATACGTAAATCAATAAGTTTGATGGCAGCCTCACAGAAGACTAATTCGTAACAATCCTCATTAAAGAGAAGCCTGACTGTCACATTTACATTAGTATACTAGGATAGACTTTGCACCTTTGATGGTAATGAGGATTCCATAAAATGTTTCTGTCGATAATATATCTCTTACTTCATTTTATGAGAAACCATCAGGAATGCATTTTCGGTGTAGAAATAGGATTGACTTCGGAGTGCAAAAGAGTAATGTAGAGATTTAGCATGCTGCAATTATTGACAATATTAATGACGATGAACACCAAATGTTGATGGTTACTATTAGGGACTGTGTGGTAAACAGCATAGTCAATAATTTAAGATAGTCTGCGCAAAATCCGCGAGTGGTGTTCGTGCCGGGAGTACAAAGTAGCGGGCGGACAGTAACCCGCTATTTGCCACTTGGCGAACATACTACTACAAACGTGATACTTGTACTCGTAGTTGTCACTGTTATTTATTCTGTGACGATACTCCGGTTTGCTGACGTAATTCCGCTACGTAGATATTCTACAATAAGAAACGTTTTGCTATAAACTCTTTAATATTTTTAAGAATGCTGTTTTTCTCTCTAATATGACTTTGGGAGAATTGTATCGTATCGGAAAGTCTATCGAAAGACAGAATACTTTTAAAGACTGTGAGACTGACAACAACTCGGCCACCTGTTAATATGAAAATTGTTGCATAGTGGAGGTGTAGTTATAAGAGTAAACTATTTTACTGTTGACACAACCAGGGTACTTTTTATATTTTAAGTATGATTATTTCAGGAAAAAAATAAACTCCCTAACACATGAACGGGTTGAAATAAGCCATACCATTTTCCCATAATAATACTCCTAAAAGGGACAGGAATGGATTTTATATAACTGATTAGATTTTTGGCTACAAGGTTTGTGGTCATTAAACATGCGTAGGATTTGAATAAGAAGTACTTTTCACGTTAGTTCATTATCATAAAGTAAGGAACCGATGCTTTGGAGTCTGTCCGACTTGTTCATAGCAAGTAAAGTCCTTGCTACTGTTGGAACTATTGCTTTAAGAGAAAAATGTGTTAGACTGACGCACATATATATAATTTTAATATAACTTAGCGTGAGTGAGACCATATATCATTATCTCGGGCTCTTAACTTTATTTCCACACGCAACGCTTTTAAAAATATATGTTTAAGAGGGATTTGACCATCATCTTGATGCGTGCGATTTTGTTGAATTTTTTTACGAAGTACGATAAAACTTTGGAATACATTGTCACTGTTTGTTTGATGATTGATGTTTCCAGACGACCAGAAAACATTTAAAAGAAGAGCGTATTCCATTAATTCTATTATGTAACAGAAAGTACCTACTTAATAATATAAATGTGAACGTTTGTAAATTTTGAATCACGCAAATTTTGATGAAATTGCATATGGTTTGGTATGCGCATTTATGGTAGTTTATGACCTGAGTTAGACATGGGATTTTTTTATCCCTGATAAAATTTTGGTTCTTATGGGCTACTCAAAACACGAAAGTTAACGCAGACAAAGTCACGGGTGTTTACTATATATTTTCGTGGCTGGACTCTACCACCTCTTAATATCAGATGGCATTCCGATATGTACCTACCGAACTGTAAGTACGTTTATAAAAAGAAACATGTCTTATAGATCCGGTAAATTACGATTATTTCGAAAACAATGGAAATTACTGCTGTCGGAATTCTTAGGATGATTATTTATTAATTGGTTTGTTTCTTTTATTAGGTGATGTATTTTTTAAGACATACAAAAACTAGTGCGTCTCTTAGTAACGGTAGGTTTTTGCTAAAAATATATTCTTCGATATTTTTCCAGAAATGAAGTTCCTCCAGAGCGTAAATAAATTGTATGACTACTAATTGGATCATATTAAAGCAGCCATTAAAATAAGAATGTGTGAGCGTTACATGTAGGAAACCATATAGTGTGGGTAATATTTGAATATTTATTTTTTCTCGCCAATCGTACATGGCATATATAGGTATGCATCAAATAATCTAATCAATAAATGTCATATGCCTCTTTCACACATCACGTCTGTACAGTTCCAACTAGCTACATTTTATAAAATATTACAACATGCACATCAAAATTCTGTTAACCGAACGTGACGAATGTTAAAAGGAAAAATGTTTTATCCAAATTCATATAAAACTGCTGACACTGTAGCTAACCAAATATTTTAAAAAGCTAAGAAGTTTCTTTCACCTGTTCTCCTTGTCAGCTAAAAGATATTACAAACAATTGGTAGAAAAATAATTTTTAAGGATGATTCAAAAGAGCTTTTAATAATTCAACTTGAATAAAGTTAATTTTTATTTCATTTCGTTAAACTTAACTGTTTTAAACAACCGTTGTAAAATTATTTGCCAAAGGACTATCTTATATATAAAATTTTCGTGTCACAATGCTAGTTACCATACTCCTCCGAAACGGCCTGACCGATTTTTATGAAATTTTATATGCATATTCCGGGGGTCTGAGAATCGGTTACTATCTATTTTTCATATCCTTAAGTGAGAATGTTTGTCCACCTGTAACGTAGTGTTCTGAAACCTACAATGCGCCTTCGCGCCAAAATTCAAACTTTTGGGTATTGTAACGTAGTGTTCTCATATGGGTTAGGAGGAATGTTATCTCAGGAAATTAGATAGAACACTACGTTACACATCCCTAAAATTTTTTTTGGACTTTTTTTTTATAATGTGGTATTAAAAAATACATACAACCCTAAATTTTCTCTTCTACTACCTGCCCCTATTTTTATGGCGGTACGAAGTTCGCTGGGCCAGCTAGTATTTTTAATACTGTCAGATAAATAGCCAGGTAAATGCTGCAGATCGCATTCAATTCACTCAGTAGAAATAGCTACAACTATTCTCCTTGAGCAGACGCCGCTTAGTCGGCGTGCTGAGATGGGCGTATTGCCGCAAATGCAGCAAATTACCGTTATTTTGTATTTGAATATTCTCATAACCAAAAGTAATATTCAAAACTTTTCCAACGATATAACACTAAATTTTCTTATTTAGCGAGTTCGTTATTAAAATAGAACGTGAATTTTCCTCCTCCCACTTTTTTTAATCAGAATAAGACGAGAATATTAATTAACTTTAACCTTTGAGGACGTTCGTCATTAATTATTTCAATCAATATTGAATTTCATAACTTTTCGTTCTCATTCATCGTTAAGGTAAGTTGAAGTAGGTATTTATCAAATGTTATTGTCGTTGCATAGACTTAAGATTCTCAAAACGTAGATTTAATATGGTAGTTATTGAGAATGGTCAATCAAAGTACATAGTTAAGAAAAAAAGTTGTTTGTAATCAGGAAAAACGTTAGCGTATTATGCGGAGGTTATGGAGGGTGTAAGTGGCCTGTGAGAAGGCAAGGTCTAATATCGATGCGTTATTCAGGAGGTAAATGAGCCATCAGTGGCGCGGCGTCGTTTGCATCTAATCTCGCTCGCATCAGCGACCCTGGGCCCTCGGGACGCATCACAGCGCTCCGACCACTCGTTTGCTTACTTAATAGCGTTTGCTGGTCCTATATGAGATTCCGAACTGAAATGAGCTGTCAATAACTCGCCATGACTAATAAGTTCTCATTAGCACATAGTCGCCGTTTGATGTTGCAGCACGATTGTGGGGCTTAGCTGAAGCCTAAATTAGAATTTCAATGCAGACATCAAATTTTATTGGATGTCCGAGTTTATGCTATTATTCTATTTAGCCACATATGTAAACTACTTCTGTGTTTATTTCAATATAGGCAACGCAGTACCTATACTGCATATTACTATATGAATGTATGCAACTGGAAGCACTTCTTGAGATATAAATCTGTGACGACATGCCCCACCATCTTCCTTTACTTGCTTCGTTTATATTTTTAGTTTGTTTGTGGTATAACAGAAAAGAGCTCTGAAAAAAGACACAAAAAAATAAAACAGCCAGAAATAAAATTAATTTATCACTGTTGCTCGTCTATTTTTGGTGAGCACTCGAAGATTGTCGGTTTGGACTTAACACGGACATCGTGGTTCGGTTGTGTTTCGTAATGAGTTAGCACTCGAGTACCACTTTGCGCATTAATCAACATGACGGGAGTAAGACACCAAACGAGATGTATTGCTAAGAGGTGCAAATGAGTGGATGTTTTGTTGTAACATTTTTTCTACGAAAATACCTTTATTCCTGCTGAGAT